CTCTCCTTTCTCCTCTTGATTTTTTTCCTTGTTTTGGTCATCGCCATTGCCCTCGTCGTCGTCCTCTTCACTGCTGTCTTCCTCATTGGTGTCACTGTCCTCTTCACTGCTTTCCTTGTTTTGTTCCTCTCCTTTCTCCTCTTGATTTTTTTCCTTGTTTTGGTCATCGCCATTGTCCTCGTCGTCCTCCTCTTCACTGCTGTCTTCCTCATCGGTCCCTTTGACCTCTTCAATGCTTTCCTTGTTTTGTTCCTCTCCTTTCTCCTCTTGATTTTTTTCCTTGTTTTGGTCATCGCCATTGCCCTCGTCGTCGTCCTCTTCACTGCTGTCTTCCTCATCGTTCCCTTTGACCTCTTGATTTTTTTCCTTGTTTTGGTCATCGCCATTGCCCTCGTCGTCGTCCTCTTCACTGCTGTCTTCCTCATTGGTGTCATTGTCCTCTTCACTGCTTTCCTTGTTTTGTTCCTCTCCTATGTCCTCTTGATTTTTTTCCTTGTTTTGCTCATCGTCATTACCCTCGTCATCCTCTTCACTTCCCTCTTCATTGATCTCCTCGGTTGGCCTAGGAGATAGTTCCCAAGGTCTTGAGAATTGTTCGTAGTCAATCCTCAAGGACCTCATGATCTGATGGTTGCATTCGATGATGTAGCGTCGAGCTTCCTTCTCTCGATCGAGGCGGGAGAGAATGAGTGCATTTTGCTCCAGAATTTGGGCATTCTGCCGACCCAATGCCTCAAAATGGGATATGTAGCTGTCGGTGGATGGTCCGGCTTGAGTCGTAGTTTGGTGATGTTGTACAAAGGGGCCGTGAGAATTTACAAAGGGGCCCGTGATAATTTACAAAGGGGACCGTGATAATTTACAAAGGGGCCCGTGAGAATTTACAAAGGGGCCCGTGAGAATTAACAATGGGGCCGTGAGATGCCCATCATCCATATCCAAAAACACGGCTCATCTCACGGCCGTGACACTGTCGAAGGCAACCCGTGAAAACCTCTGGGAAACTGAGAAGTGTGTTTTTACATACACGGTCTCTCTCACGGCCTATCTCATAGCCGTGATATTTCCAGAATTACATCCACGGTCTCTCTCACAGCCGTGATATTTCCAGAAACCACACACAACTTACAACTTTTGAGAGCTAAATAACATGACCACGAGCATAGCCACTAAGCTTTCCATAACCCATGACACCACCATAAACACTCGCTCTATTTCCATCCAAACTGGCTAAAACTGAAGTCACCCTGATTTCATGAAATAGTTCTTGACTAACACACTCAATTGCACCTTTCATGCAGCCAAGCAAGACCCTTCAATTAACAGTCCAAAATGTAATCAACAAGCAACGGTAACGACACTACAAACTGAAAATAATCAAACTGAGTATGAACTTTCCTATTCGATTTGCCTCCATAAAACACAAATCAAGTCTCTCCAATCAAAAACCCATTCCTTACATCCATAAAACCCAATCAAGACCAAAGAACTAAAGAAGCAAGCAGAACAACCCCAGCACAGTTATTCTCTTCAGTTTGAAAGCAAAGGCAACAACGAAATGAACAACCCCAGCACAGTTTATGGGATTATATAAACCAAGACAGCTTCCTAGTTGACACTGAATCCTCCATTCACAAATACCTCCTAGGTCACATCAACGATCTGTGTGAGGAATGGAGTTATATGGTGGATGGCCACAACTATTTGCACAAAAAAGTGCAGACTTTCTGAAGCTTCATCAATCACGGAATGACTAAAGATGCCCCCATCTCAATCAAACTCGGCCGTGAAAAAATACAGCACAACCAAGAACTACACTTGAGAGAGCTTCAATACTCATTGCACAAGACGTTAAAGCTAAAGAGATAGACAAACCAAATCACAGAAGAAGACACTGGAAAAGATGGAGCACATCAGAATTCCCACTTCACACAACTGATAAAACCGAGAGAGGGAAAGGAATATTGCATCTTATATCACCATATCCAATTGAGAATGCACATGAAGAAAGCAGTGGAGAAGCTTCAATTTCAATCCCAAATGGTTACACAGAATTGAGAAATTCTCTCTTCTACTTCCATAGTTCAATTTGGTAAAACGAGCATGGAATTTCAATCCTATGATTTGGCAACCGATCCTTAGTAGACAACTTGACATTTCCAGAGAAATAAGTCAGACATTCAAAGACACCATTATTGTACTCGAAGCTGCTCCAACAAATGCTCTAGAAGCTAGAAGCTAGAAATTGAATGTTTATCAAAGGGAGATAAGAATTTCAGCCACTTACATCGAATGAATGACTGAGTCGTCGTTTCAAATCGGAAATCGAATGCTTTATCACCCAATTCTCGCTATTGCAGGAGTTCTCCTACCCGGCGCTAGTTGACTCGTCGTTGTCGATTGGGCTTTTCGAGTCTTTGATTCCTTCTGAGTCTTCCTCCAGTAAAAGAGTCTCTGCCACCTTCAGAATTCAAGTCCTCTTTGTCGTCGCCACTGCTCACCCCCTTTACTATCTACGAACAGACCCACCGCGAAACACAATCCCAGGAGAGGAAAGTTGAAAAACGATCAGACCCACCGCAAAACACAATCCCAGGAGAGGAAAGTTGAAAAACGATCAGACCCACCGCACAATCTCACCGTTTCCGTCGCCGATGCTCAAGCCCTTCAATATCGACGAAGAGACCCACCGCGGAAGAGCACAGTTCACAATCGCGAAAGGGTTCCCCCAATTTCTTTCTTCTCACAACGTCGCTGTCGCCCTAGATGCAGGTTCGCCGTCGCCGTCGCACTATTTCAAATGCAGGTTCGCCGTCGCCGCGGAAGAGACGCTCTGAAATTCCACCTCGGAAGAGAAGCTCTGAAATTCCACCGCGGAAGAGAAGCTCGATCGCCTTTTTTTTTGATGCAGTGAAGGGTTTCTGTTTTGATGCAGAGCTCGATCGCCTGGATTTCAATTTTTTTTAAAATGATTGTGTAATGAACCGGTGCAACAGGTTACCAGTCCACAAGTGAAAATAATAATAATTAAATAATTTCAATCCAATGGCTGATATTTTATAACAAGATCTAATGGCTCTAAGTATATTAAAGCATGGGTACTATATAGCATACTAAAATGCCTCCCGAAGAAATTAAAATGGGCCACTAAATTGATAAAAATAAACATGCCATGGAATATATCAGCATCAAATATAGAAGAAATTCGAATGGCCTCTAAATTGGGCTAGGCTTTTTCCGCCACTTGCATTGCTTATGGTTAATTGATCAGAAAAAAACAAACATGACATACTAATTGCAAAATAATGAAATATATATCACGTTTTGAATTTGGCTAACATTTACATGATGATTAAGTGTGAAGATAAAATTAGAATGAGGATATAATCCAATCCCGAAATTACTGAATCGCTATTTATCGCTCTAAAATTTAAAAACGTGTGAGGAGCGGGTGAAAGGGATAGTGAGGGATGCTAGCCCAGAAATCAAATGAGTTTTGTTGAAATTGAATTATAAAATAAAAAACGAAAAGACCCCTTTATTCTAGGGGTGACAATGGGTCGGATTGTAGTGGGTTATGTTAAACCCAAACCCATGGGTTTGTCCAACAAAAAAATTTGGGGTAAAACTCACTGTGTATCCGCGGGTTCATGGGTAACCATGGGTTCTTGTACAAAGATGCAATTACACTAGTTTTCACTACTATTGTCTACTACATACACACCAACTCACAAATCATTCATACCAATTGTTCAATATTAAAGATAAACATCCACAAACAATATGATTAATTGAACGTGTGAGGAATTAGTTTAGAAATTAAAGTTAATTTGTTAAGGGTTTCGTGGGTCGTGGGGGAGTATGAGCTTGGGTGCGGGTATCCGCGGATTGGATATGGCTATCCAAACCCAATCCGCAAAAAATATAGCGGGTTTAAACCCGAACTTGGCCCGCATCCGTCAAAGTGGGTTTTACCCATGTTGACCGCGTAGGGTACCCGCAGATTCGGATTCTACTGCCATCCCTACCATAGTCTCATACGATTTTACTGTGTGAGAGAGGGTGAGAGAGAAACATGAGAAGGATGGGGAGGGGAGGGGAGGAAGGGGAGGCAAAGATATTATCAAAAGAATTAGGACTCCGGCAAAATCACAAAATTGATGGATATTATCAAACTAGTCGAGTACCAGCCTATAAATCAAATGAGTTTTGATGAAATTGAATAAAAAAAGAAATGTAATTCTCAGACCACATCGGTCACATGTAATCTCATACAACATTCTTCACCTGCAATTCACCGTATGAGAGGACTGGAGATCGACATGAGAAGGATGGAAGGGGAGGGGAGACAAAGGTTAGTGAGATAAAGAGCATAAGAGAAAGAATTTAAGTGACCGTGTAAGGTAGATTGAACTATTGAATATTAAACCACTTATTTGACCGATTCAACCACTTAAATCAGTTTGACGATCAAGCTCACCTTACACTTTCCCAGTAAACCTTAACCTACTTACTTATTAGGACTCGTTTGGATGTGGAAATTTAAAATCGTTGGAATTTGTCTGAATTTCCATGTTTTACAAAACCAAGGAATTGACTTGTGGAAATTGAAAACAATTCACGTTTGGATAGGGTTTAGTTTTTTGGGAATTGATGGTGTGGAATTTGGAAAAAGAAGTAAGAAAACGTGGTAATGTCAAATTACTAGGGGGAGGTGTAGTATTCTCAATTACCATGAATGTGGTAATTGAAGCCAATTTCCATGGTCCAATTCCCATACCCTTTTTGCTCTCCCAAACGTGGGGTTTTAACCCAATTACTGCATATTGTGGTAATTAGGTCCAATTACTGCATTACATTTCCACATCCAAACGACCCCTACCGGTTCAATCATTTAATTCATTTTGGCAATCTTGCTCACGTTCATGATAACAAAACTCACCCGGCCAATCCACCGGGCAAAATTCTAGTTATAAACGATATAACAAACGACCGCTAACTTCACCAAAATTCAATAACCCGGATTTCATGATTTAGAAGTGACGCGATGTACTTGGGAACGCGTTAGGATGATTACTCAAAATTGAGTAATCACCGTGGCTACTAAAATCTAGACCCTTAATTATCTATATTTTATTCTAATTTTAAATTGACGGTGAAGATTAGATTAAGGGTAATTTTGAGAATAAAAAAAATACCACACCTGATTTCTATCCTTTAAAAAATTAATTCTATATATTATACCTAAACCTACTCCAACCCTATTTTATATCTTCGTCAACACCTATCCTGCGGCCCTCCCACTGCCGGCAGCCGCCCACCCTCCGGCGACCCTCGCCCACCTTCGTCAACACCTTCGTAAAATAGATTAGGCAACAATGGCGAAAGATTAATGGAAAGCTAAGAACAGGGCAATTTCTACTAATTACCTCTCCTGGCCTTGGTCACGACTTTGACGGGACTCGCCGGCTTCCTCAGCGGCTCCGTCGCTTCCGTCTCCGGGAACAGGATCCCGTCAATCCCCTGCACCGAAATCCTGCCGTCGGTGTAGATATCCGGGTCGAACAGGTACTAAAACTTTTTTTTGTATTGCTTTGTTTTGGTATTGATTTTGTCGCATTGGTATTATTTTTGTCGTAATGGTATTATTTTTATCATATTGGTATTGATTTTGTTGCAATGGTATTGATTTTGTCGCATTGGTAGTGATTAAATCTGCAATGGTATTGATGTTTTGTGAAATGGTAGTGTTTTTCTTTCTTGAATGGTATTGATGTTTTGTGAAATGGTAGTGTTTTTATTTCTTGAATGGTAGTTTTCGTGTAATGGTATAAATTTATTTATGCAATGGTAGTTTTCGTGTAATGGTATAGATTTATTTCTGCAATGGTATTGATATTTTTCAAAGTGGTAGTGTTTGTCTAATGGATTGGTACTGATTTCGTTTTTTTTTTTTTTTTTTTGCAGAAAGATTGAGAAAAATATGGAAAGGAAATCTCGCTGGAGATTACGGAAGTGAGAGAAAGAGAGAATTTTAATTAATAGATTTTTGTAACTACCTTAAATGTAATTTATTAAAAAATTAATTAATATAATTTATTTTTCCATACCCAATTTACCCTTAGTAACCACGGTGATTACTACAAAGTAGTAATCACCGTAACCTGTCCCGATGTACTTGCCACTATTCGAAGCGAATGGACGATACAAACATATGATATAATTCATCAAAAAAAAAAAACATATGATATACACAATGGAAGGATCTAACCAAGATTGCACGTACATACACATCACATCGTGGTAAAGTAAATTGCACTAGAGTTTACACTACTGAGATTCAATTTTGTAGGAAAATGGCAGCTCCAACCAAGGCAAGCCAAAATGCGAGGGCCACCCAGAAAGCTTGGTTGTTCTCCAATCCAGTTGGAGGTCGCCATTGCAGGAGCTCTCCTAAATAGTCTCTCGACGAAGGAAGCTGATTGGTTGTCGTCCAACTACTCTTTTCATCCTTGTCCTTGTACTTATCGGTCCACGATGATGCATAGCTACAAATGACAATCAAGAATCCAACAACAAGAACCCATCAAAAGAGGTTTAATCCAAAGGAAAAGCAATGTAATTTCTAGTAAAGCATGAAACGAGAATCAAACAACAGTTGCAGAAGTGAAGAAGCAGAAGAAGTACAGACACAGGAGTCAATGATGGGAAGAGCATCACAATTTTCCATGGAAGGAAAAAGGACTGATTTTTACCTGTCGTAAGTGGAACCAATGAGTGGAATGGTAACCATTTCTTCTTGGGATATCTTGAGCTTGGGCGCTTGCAAGATGTAACGAAGTTCAGCAGCTTGGCGACGTATGCTGATACTAGGATGCTTCCGCTCTAGTTGTTGATAGAGAGTAATGCAGTCTGAATGTCTGTTATTAGCTTCATACGCCATAGCCAACCATATTTGAATCTGAAACCCAAGAGCAGAGCTTGAAAGATCCATCTTTAGAACCGGTGAATTCCAAAGAACTTGAACAGAAACTGAGGAGGATTGGTGGTGGGATTTGGAAACTAACCTCACCCCCAAACAAGGTAAGCCTAGGTATTATTGTGAGAGCAGCTTCAAGAAACTCAATGGCCCTTCCATACATTCCTCTCCCATAAGCTTTTTGCCCTAATTCAAACATCAATTGAGCCGTTTGTCTCCTCTCTGCCTGCTCCTGAGCCACCTGCTCTCACAATTTCACCAAAACCCTATACACACATCATTCCCCCAATTCTGAAGCAACAATTGCAGAAAGAAAAACCAAGCAAAACCTAACATTCAATGTCAACAAGTGAGAGGAAAGGGAGCGAATTGGTGACCTTTTCAAGCTCTTTTCTCACTCTCTGCCTCTTCTCTTCCTCCGTCTCTTCTCTCCCTTCTTCACCATTCTCACTGATCTCTTCTTCCGCCTTGCTCTGCAACTCCTCCGCCTTCTTCTCCAACTCTTTCATCTCCTCGATCTCCTTCACTCTCTTCCTCATCTCCTTCTCCCAATCGAACGGATCCTCTTCTCCCTCCTCGCCGTTCCCGTTCCCGTTCTCTTCGTCGCTGTCGAAATCCACCCCGTTCACCTTCGAATTCTCCTTCCCTCGAACCACGAATCTCTGATTCCTCGCTTCCCCTTTCGATTCGAAGCCCTTCCCCCCGGCCAGAGAAGAAGCATGGACGTTGCTGGAACCGGTGAGATGATGAAGCTCCCGCTTCGACAAGCTCAATATCAGATCGAGAGCCACCGGACGCGTTTTCCTCTCGGGAAGTACGATGGCAGGCGGCATCGTCACGTCGAGAAGAAGCGCCAAGTTTCCGACCACCGCCATGGCTGATGCCCGATTGAGAAAGAAGACAGAGGAAGCAAACGAGAAATGAAACAGAGTACACAGAAAATGTAGCAGTCTAGCAGAGATATTTCCTTCAAATGAAGTGGCATAGAAGCAATAATGAAAAGACTCTGATGTCCCTTTCGTCAGCTCGAAGTGGGCTTAGAGATTCCGAGGGTATTTTCGTCCGGATTGGAAACAAAAACGTGGCGCGCTCGCTGCGAGAGCCGTGTCTGAAAACGGCTAACTGTAGTCTGTAGAAATAATTTCACAGCGAAATCTTCAAACGGCGTCGTCTATCGTAGGCTGGCTCCTGACCGCGCCGCCGTCGACAGCCAACAACCACAGCCACATCCCTCGCGGTGGAGGCGCGCCGCCGTGTGTGGCCACATCCAATTTATAGCTTCCGGACATCCAATTTGCGCGGAAATTCAATTCGCCGGTTTTTACCATGGCGCTTCTGCAGCTTTGCGGCACAGGGCCACGTCTCCTCCCTTCCCGCCACCGCTTCCCGGTCAGCGGCGTCATTGACCGCCGGATCATCGTTACAGCTAGAAAGACGAAGTTCGAATTCGCTAACTTGTCTTTGAAGTATCGATTTGCTGCTACTGCTCGTTTTGCTCCTTTGAGATGCGCTTCCGTCAATGGCTATTCGACTGAGAACGGAACGGGGAAGGTAGATGATGACGGAGCACTGGGAGAGGATAAGGATGAGATGCACCAACGGATTCGAAGTTTCATCGAGTTCCTGCCGTCAATTCTACCCGGAGGGAACTGGTGGAGCTTATCCGATGACGTGGACGTGAAACTCGTGGCGGAGCCGGTGACCGTGTGGAAGGCGCTAGAGCGGATGTGGCAGCTGGTGGCTCGGGACCGTTGGGTCATCATCGCCGCTTTCTCCGCCCTAATTTTGGCTGCGGTGTCGGAGATCTCCATACCGCATTACTTGACGGCGTCGATTTTCACGGCGCAGAGCGCCGACGTTGCGACGTTCCACCGGAACGTAAGGCTGCTGGTTCTGCTCTGCGTTACTTCAGGGATATGCAGGTCAAGGCGTTGTACGGCTTCAACTAGTCCCTCTATTTTCTCTAAACTGATCATGATTATATTATTACATTCTAACTGGTGTGTGGCAGAGAATGCTGAATTCCTTTTACTGTTTGTTTTTGTTAAGCTCAGTGGGTTAAGAGGTTGCTGCTTTGGCATTGCGAATATGATCCTTGTGAGTTGTTTCTCTTAGCTTCAATTTCTGGAATGTGGTCTCATTTCTTTGGTGGCCTACTTTTGTGGGGATTTCAGACCCTATTCAGTAGTGTTGTCAAATGCTCTTTCATCCCTTTGAATATTTGAAACCGACACTGGTGTCTGCCTTGGGTTCCTTACCTTATTTGCAGGTGAAGCGGATGAGAGAAACTCTTTATTCTTCTCTTCTTCTTCAGGTATAGTTGTTATGCTTCTTGAGTTGTTGCTCACCTTACTTGTTGATGATGTATTTGTCAGCAATTTATTGCTACACTTTTTGCAGGATATTTCATTTTTCGACAATGAAACAGTTGGTGATCTGACGAGCAGGCTTGGATCGGATTGCCAACAAGTTTCTCGGGTTATTGGGAATGATCTTAACCTAATCTTGCGGAACGTTGTGCAGGTTGATGTTCTCTGCTAATGTTTTCGAGCTGCCTGTTAGTATCAACTTAAACAAAGTTGGTCTAGTTCACAGTTTGTTGCTCTGTTCCAGGGTACGGGTGCATTGACCTACTTGCTGATCCTGTCTAGGCCGCTTGGTCTGTTTACAGTATTCATATGCTCAGCTTTGGCAGCTGTAATGACAGTCTATGGCATGTAAGATCCTTGGATATATTTCTTGAAGTAAGCTTGTCGTGTTTTTTTTTTTTTTTTTATGATGCCTAGCTTAATGAATAGAGCCCTGTTATAAGATGATGTAAGAGGTTGGGAATGCCCTTGGTATAGTATGCTGAGGTAACCGTGTTGTAGCTGAACTGCAAGGAGATTGGTTTGAACTACTAGTAGAAACATTGTGATTCATTACCATAAGTTTTAGTGAAGTTTTTTTGTACTTGACAGTGTACTTTTGCTCCAAGGAATTCAGCAACCAATAACCATGAGTTAAAATTTGGCATGAATAGATGTTTATGTCATAGTGATGGCTATATGACCTTGGCTATTTATGTTGTTATTAGGTATCAGAAGAAGGCAGCAAGACTAACCCAAGAGTTTACAGCTTCTGCTAATAACGTATGATGGTATTCCTTATGTTTAAGTTAGGAAACTAACTGATATGCTTGAGGTTATGAATGAATTTGTCTTAACCTTGTGCAGGTGGCTCAAGAGACATTTTCTTTGATTAGGACAGTTCGTGTTTATGGAACTGAAAAACTAGAACGTGAAAGGTCAGTCGAAGCTTGGAGTTCTGTGTCTTTTTTATTCGGATTTCTTGGTCTTTAATTGTGGCATCTACAAGGAAGAATGATCTGTGGTGATAGATGTACTAGCGGAGTTAAAGTTACTCCTGCAGTAGTTATACATTCTCACTCATACAAATTTCCTTCCTTGAACTTCATAGGTACAATTTGTGGCTGGACAAATTGGCTGATATCAGTCTGAAGCAGAGTGCTGCATATGGATTTTGGAACTTGAGCTTCAACACACTTTATCACTCTACTCAGGTCTGCCATATCTTATATTGCAGTGTATCCAGTTGCACATTTCTAAAATGAGTGAGCTTTATCTCATCTCAATAGTCTATTTAGTGAGGGATCAGTTAACGTATGTTGAGCAACTTCTGCTTATTCAACATATTTTGTTTTCTAGGTCATTGCTGTGTTATTAGGAGGAATGTCTATTCTTGCTGGTCATCTTACAGCGGAGAAACTCACGAAGTTCATATTATACAGCGAATGGCTAATATTTTCTACGTGGTGGGTGGGAGATAATTTATCATCTCTCATGCAATCTGTTGGGGCTAGTGAAAAGGTCTTCAAAATGATGGATCTCTTGCCAAGTGACCAGTTCACCACAAAAGGCAAGCTATTTTCTTGCATCAATTTTTGGTGATTGAATTGTTCCTAAATTTGGAGAACCATTTTATCAGTATCGCCTTTGATTTGACTTTTTTTGAACATATTTTATATTGATCTTAGAGATCACTATGACGAGCTTATTGCCTTCTAAAAAGCTTTTAATTCCCTGCCATGCAATGCAATTTTGGATTTTTTGCTGAAGCGTTAAAGATTGTCTTAGCAAGTAATCATGAAAACATACATGTGAGCTTAAGAACAAAACATAAAAGATTGCAGAAGCTTGTCCAAAGTGACTAGATTAGGTTGTTGTGTCGATCAATTTCTATATTTTGTCAGGATTCATGTTTGTATGATAGAAAGTAACGGACTTAATGAGATAACCTCTGAAAAACTGTTGAATGCAAATGTTGAAGCAAACAAATTGTGTTTCTGACCTGTTAAAAGGTGGTTGTTGCTATTGCAGGATCACAACTACAAAAGCTGAAGGGAAGCATAGAATTCAAGAACATATCTTTCCATTATCCTTCTAGAGAGTCAGTATGGATGCTACCTTCATCTCCAAATTGCACTCTATTTCTCTTTCATTTTTTATTTTTTCTACATCACTTATTTTATCTCAGGTTTATCTTCTATTAAACATTTCAAATCTCATCATACTCTGGTTGCTCAAGTTTTATCGTTTGCTAAATTGACGATTTGATACTTTAATAGGTGCAGGTACTGCAACATGTAAACCTTACCGTACATCCTGGGGAAGTGGTTGCAATCGTAAGTTTGCCCTTACTTCCATGTTGTTCATTCCTCCTACCAGTCACCAAAATAATGTGTTTTTTGGGGACTTTTCTTAGGTTGGTCTTAGTGGTAGTGGGAAAAGCACTCTGGTGAACTTGTTGCTCCGCCTCTATGAGCCAACAAGTGGGCAGGTAAAATCCTTTGCTATTTCTTGAACTTCTCATCCATAAGGCGTCACGATTCTTGGTCCTTGTTACTGCAGAAGTTTGTTCAAGGTAGGTGGCTGAAGATTTGTATATGGCATTTATGCCTCAGAATTCACTAAGTATGCTAAGTGATGGCTTAATCAGAATGAAAATGCTAAGTTAAAACCATTTCTATTCTCTTTATTCAAGATCACCCTTAATCTCTGGTTTGAAACGAGGTTCAGATATCCCTGTTTCTGCCATTCATAGGCTGTCTGTTTTTCTGTCTGTGATGAAAAATTTATGCTTGTAAAACTGATCTCTTCCGTCTTCTGAAGTCACACATCAGTTTCATTTGTCCTTTTTTGTCACAAACTGCAGATTTTGATTGATGGCATTCCCCTTCAAGAACTGGACATCAGATGGTTTAGGGAAAGAATTGGTTATGTTGGCCAGGTTAGCTCTTCACCGTGAACTTAAAACACATTTTTGAAGTCTCGTGAATTAGCTTCTGCTTACACCAGTTCTATTGAAGCAGGAACCCAAACTCTTCCGCATGGATCTGAGTTCAAACATAAGTTACGGATGTCCAGGAGATGTAACCCAGGAGGAAATCGAGCATGCTGCTAAGGAGGCATATGCTCACGACTTCATCTCTTCCTTGCCTGATGGATACAAAACAATTGTTGATGATGATTTGCTCAGCGGAGGTCAGAAGCAAAGAATTGCTATCGCTCGAGCTATTCTCAGGGACCCTACGATTTTGATCCTTGATGAAGCCACTAGTGCACTGGACGCAGAGAGTGAGCACAATGTCAAGGTATAAGTCTCTCTAGCACCCCAAGTATGCCAATGATGAACTAGAAACAGTAGAAATTCGGAAAAATGAAATAAACTTTCTGTTTTTGACCACACCATGTGTAGGGAGTCATTCGTTCCCTTAGAAGTGTCTCGATGTCAAGGAGAACTGTCATAGTGATCGCCCATAGGTACCCGATCTATACTCTATATACTCCCGTGTCGAGACATCATAAATCCTCACTTCGATCGTTTTCCTTTGGTGCAGGCTCTCAACCATACAAGCTGCTGATCGCATTGTCGTTATGGGTAATGGTCAAGTTATCGAGGTTCGTTGCTTCTGTGATCATCTGAGCTACCGTAAACTCTGTGCTCTTCGTTCCTAAACTGTATAGGGAATCCCCACTTGCTTGTTTCAGATGGGGAGACACAAGGAATTGCTGCTTAAAGATGGACTGTATGCTCAATTAACCAGACGACAAGCGGACGCAGTGGCCTAATTTTAAGTTGTGCAGATTACTCCTTTGGTACACAGGTATAGCAATTTCGGAAGTAAATGTAAAATGTGTTGAACATGAGAAGCGCAATTTTCGCTAAAGGAATGTGAGGGATCCAATTTGTATCCTTTGGTTCCTCTCCGAAAAACATTAATCAATCATTCATTGTTCATACTATACGAGGGACTCAGTTTGTGTCTCCTGGGTGGTTTGATTGCACATAACCTTCCAATCTAGCGAGCAACTATCATCATTGTCTGGACCGGCAAATGAAACTGGAATCGTGTGATCCTGAATTTGCTTGCACAACATGAGTAACAACCCTAGTCGATCCGCGAATAATGCTCGATTGCCTAGATAGTGCACCTTTTTTACACTGCCTCATCCTCAAAATCCATCTCAAACACTTGTACAATGTCAGCCAATCACATTGCAATACTTGGAGTTTTAATCGCATAAATAAATTGTGAGACTATTGTGTCTTTGCATTAGCCAAAATTGAGAAAAGAAACATTTGGAATCCAAGACATTATAGGAATCATTATAGCTAACGGGACAAACATGGAGGCTTTACACAAGTTCAAATGAACAACCCATTAATATGAGTGACATTATCTTCTATATAATAGCGGACTACGCTTTATTGGTCCAAACTTCCAACTACTGTTTCAATTCCTGTCGTTTTGTGTGGGTAACCAGTGAGAGAGCTTCGCATAACAGCTTCCCAAAAACTTCCTCGCGGCAGCCGGCCGTCCCTTCCCTCGCGCCCTTACCCTAACATCAGCAGCCGACCATGCCTGTCTGCGGTCGTACCCATCCTTTCACCATTCCACTTACATTTTCGAAGTTTTTATGACTGCGATTGTTGATGGCGGAAGGAAAAAGAGTCCTCTCTTGCCCTGTTACACACTCGCTTCATCTTTCCACTGACGTCCTTCTCTGGCTCTAGGACTGTACCCTCACCCCATTCTCCAAATCTCGCCCCCATTCCTCACCAATCACCCCAAATCCCGCCATCCTGGTGTGCTTTTCAATGGTATAATCGCCTCAGCAACCCACTTCAGCAAGCAATTCATAGAGGAAGCCACCTCTCTCCGCCATTCTTCCTTCCCAACACCCACCCAACCACCAATTCCACCTTATCTTTCGATTTTTTTTCCTCTGATACCCGATTTCTTTGCAAGTTTTATTTTTCTTCTCCTCACTCGGATGAGGAATCCCAACGATGGCCGATGAAGATGAGCCCAGTGGAGCCATGCCCTGGAGCTTCCAACCCGTAAGTGGAAGATATATATTTGGTTGTTGCTTTGCGGTGGCTGAATCTGGATATGTTGGTTTCATGTGCTTTTTATGCAGGAAAATAGTGGTTGTGCTTGAAATCACATTTAAGAAGAGGTCAAGGTGGTTCTAAACAACCCCGTCGGTTGAAGAAGAAGAGGACGACAAGGGCTTTTCGGTGTTGCGGAATCGGCAGCAACTGGGATAGTAGGGGAGGAAGGCTGGTGGTGTTGGTAGGAGGATGATGAATGAGCCTCGCGGTGGTGATAGGGATTGAAGAAATTGAAGATGGAGTCCCATTTTTTGTTCTCTTTCTCTGCTAACAATTAGGTTAAGTTTTCCTCTGATATTTCAGAAAGTGATTTCCTTTTTGTAGCTGGAACTTAAAGATAAAGACTTAGTAATCTACAAACTTTGAATTTTTGTGTGTTTCATAGCTATTCTTGGAGTTCCTCACATATTTTACTTGCTGCTGGTTTGTTTGTTTTTTATTCCTTCGATCTTAAGACAATGACCAGTGGTGTTCCATTGCTTATCCTTGAAATATTTAGTTCTCATTGTTGGATTGTTCTATTAATTATGACATGCTATATGTTATTCATCTACAGCAACATGGAAGCTGTAGCTGCCTAGCTGGTGTTAGGAGCTAAACTACATGTGGTTGTAGGTGCAATAGACAAGGAGAAGGAGTTAATTCACAAATTGGTGTGTGTTTTATTCTTCTCCTTCATGTTGATTTCTCCTTTCAATTTATAATTATAATATTGATTCCTTGGAGTTAGATCTGAAATAAGTAGTTTTGGACTAGCTCTGCGGTTATATAAGCATGTTTGCCAATAAGTGTAAAACCTCACTCTTTGGAACTTCATATTTTAATGACTATACACGATATGAAAGATTAATCCTGGTTTCATGCCACTCTCTTATTAACATAGTTAGTAAATACTCCGTTTAATACACGTATATGTACCCGTACGTACTTTATCCGTTTAAAACTTCCGTATCCGTATTATTGTCAAGTTGTTTCATTTTCCCCCGTTCATTTGATGGCTCCCGTATTAAACACGTATAAAACCCGTATAACACGTTTATTATCCGTATTTTACAAATTAAATTGTTAATGTTACTATTATTTATAGTATATATTAATTTTTAAAATAATTAATTTTATATATTTGTGACTATTAACGTACTATTAAACGTAATTTTAGCTTAGAAACGAAGTATAATACCCGTACGTATTTTTTACGTAACTTTCCCGTACCGTATTTTACTAACTATGCTTATTAACTGAATTAATTGACTTCAGTAACTGATGGTGGTTTCCACCCTCTAATAACCTGTTCAAGAATCCTTTTTGCTTTCTTCGTAGTAGGTGGCTTTGTTTCCACCCCCTAAACACAGTTAACAACTTCTTGCTTTTCACATGAACTTCACCATGTTTCTCTGTGATGAAAGCCAATTAATGCTTGTTTTTACATATACATTTTCCCATCCTTAAATAAAGTAGCAACTGAAGATGGTATATAACCAGATATTGTTAGCATACTGAAATTCTTTCTAATCAATGAGGAAGTGACGTATAACAAAGTTTCGTGATTGGTAGGTGACTCACTCCTACTTTCACTCTAGAAAATGGCCAAGTGTAACCACTTCCTAAAGCGTAGTATAGCGGGTTTGGGTTTCAATGTCAACCCGGGTCCTAGATGTGATGACTACTCAGTGAATTCGTATTATCTAGCGATAAAACTTTAGTGAAGGTCTAAACTAACAAGCAAGCAAAGCAACTAAACGGTTGTTTTCAGGTTAAGAGAGGTCACCCGGATATGGTTCCCCCTAGTCTGCAGTTAAGCCGGATTGTAATTACCAAGTTCAATTTCTATGACAGTTATACTGCGGAAGGTTCTCAATCAGCCTGAAGTCTCGACTAAAGGTCTTCAGACCCTCTCAATCTGAGTCTCTAGCGGGCGACTAACCTCCACCGGAGTAAACAGATTGAGGCCCTATGAACAAAACCTCCACTACCGAATTGAATTCGGTACAGAATAGTGAATTGGCTCCTCGACTAAAGTCACCAATTCACTACCTTCAATTAAGGATACTCTATTAACCTAGGCAGATATTCTCATTCTAGATTAAAGCAGAAACAACAGGAATTTGATCAGGATTCATGCCATTCAATCATTCAAACCTCAATCGAATATAATCAATTCATAGAAACAGTACTTGGGTTCATACAATCAATCCCAACATACAGAACTAGGGTTTCCCACACCCAGATGAATGGGAGAACTACTCCATGGAGAAAGAAGCAAAAGCAGAATCAGACGCGGAAATCATACTGTGAAGATGGATTTCTGCTCCTGGACGTTGAATCGGCACTTCTCCACGCTCAAACCAAGCTCCAATGGTGTTGAAGATCGATCTAGGGCACTTGGAGACTCTTGTTCGTCGCTTTCTCTCTCTAGGAATCGCTCTGTCTCTCCAAAACTCGAATCTGCCACTTTTGGCTCGGAATAGGCTCTAAAACCAGGATTTCCCGACTCGCACGGCCAGGTTGCACGGCCGTGCAGATCACCCACTTGGCCGTGCGGCTCCAAAACGCGGCGTATCAATTAGTTCGACCTCAGGCTTCTCGCACGGCCAGGGTGCACGGCCATGCGATCTTCAGGGGTTGCCCGTGCGTGGCCTCGGCATAAAGCGCACGGCCATCTTGCTCACGTGCACGGCCGTGCGACTCCCTGGTCTGCCCGTGCAGCTTCCTTGAGATCTCGCCATTCGTCCGTTCTTCGTCCAATCGACCCCAGACTCGCTCCTAAGCCTTCATTCACGTACTAGGACCTGAAATATCACAAACAAGCACAACCTAGCGTGAAATCGGCCTAAAACACGAGAATCAACACCTCAAACGGTGTAAGAACGAGGGTAAAAACATGTTTAAATGACGGTCTATCAAACTCCCCCACACTTAACCGTTTGCTTGTCCCCAAGCAAACCAAGTCAGACACTAGGTAAGCTTACATATTTCAATCAACCAACATTAGGGACAAGTCATAAAGGCACAGAACACGTGAATCGCACTGGTTTTCAAACATCAATACATGCACAACCTCAATAACAACCTGGACAACCACCACAAAGGACATTCGAGTGCATCAAATCGAGTAAAGGAAAAGTCTCCCTTCTGTTCACTGGCCAACCTAGACTTGATTCAACCACTTACTCAAAACAGTCAACTCATGCATCCAACTAAAGACATCAGAATAGAGACCGAGCAATCTATGTCCTCACCGGGGTACAAGAGCATATAGAAAATGAAAATGAATCACTCACTCTCGACCAGTGGGGTCAAGACAATTTGATGCGAAAGATGCGCATGCTATTTCTCTCAATACCTATCGTCTCTTCACCATGATGGCAGCCTCTAAATGCTAGAGTTCACATATGGGGTGTCACCACTAACTAATCAGGAGGTCTTAGACACAGGTTCAAATGACTGGCTAGGGTCTTGGACATGGGGAAAAAGCCTTTTAGGTGGTGGAAGTATTCATAGCAAAAGGTTCCACATTTTCCAAACACACAATCACAGTCAAACAAACCGGTATTTTCTTTCTGCTACTCTGCATTACTCAATATCTTAAGAGCACAAGAGCGAAGGAGGCATAAACATCAGCGTTTCCAAGCCAGACTGCTAAGAAACACTACTTACTGGGCATTATTCAGATTTTTGGTAGTGGCTCTCTTTTGCTTTCAATTTTTTTCTTTGTTTCACTTTCATTTTTCTTTTCATTTCCTAAGAGAGCCACCACTTCTGCATAAATTTCAAACACCTGCCCAACTTTTAAGCACTACCTCCAACACTCACATAGACTTTAGCAGAAACAGCAGAGAATATGTAAAAAACCACTCTGTGGAACCTTCTAAAAGATGCAACAAGGGTGATTTTTTTCCATTATAGACCAAAAGAAAGGATAACACACGG